CTGTTCGCTTCCAAGGTTCCCTTTCTGAGATCTTCACCGCTACGTTACACATTGTGCTTACATACAGGTTGGTATTTAGGTACATATGTACTTATAGGTGCTTACAGTATTAATAGCACATATTCTACTATTCTAGTATTCAATTCAAAATATCCAATTCTCAAGATACGTGAGTCATTCACTTTGAACGGCACTCGGATGACCAATCCGCCGTAATCCATCCGCATCGGAGGATAAAAAACCGATCGGAGTATCGGTCGCACTTATTGCCGTTTATTTTATTTTATTTTTTTAATTCCTTAATCCCTAATTCCATTTCCTTTTATGGTTAGTCTGATTACTGATACAATCTTTAAAGTTCCTATCGAGCCTTGGGAAGTCAGGTTTGGATTACATAGCATTTCGATTTCCAATCACCGCATGCCAACTTGGAAATCACATCATCATCATCTATAAGATCTATGATAGCTGACAATTGCTTTGACCACATGTTGACGTGTCGGCATCCTATCTAGGTATCCAAATTAATCCAATGAGTTGGCCTGTCAGCATGGAGGCTCTTGGAACCTTGGGGAAGCCAAGCCACATAGCCTCCGTATGCGTATTCTGTATTATGCAACACAACCCCTCGCTTGTACTCCGTCTCCCTAGATGAGTACGACAGGTGTCCAGTCTTGGCAGGATTGACCAGCATTCCCCAGAAATTGGAGATTGACAAGGAATCCATGCATGAGTAGGCAGTGCGGTGGGGAACAATTAGCACGCACAGATCCTCGTGAGGCCATGAGGCAGCATAATTCCAACATCCCTGGATGAGACTACTCCCTTAAAGATTTGCTCATTGCGCAGTTCTACAGCGTTGCCTACAGCATACAGTCTACGTTGTATGCTGTACATTCCACAGGTGACACACAATGGGGCATTGGCGGATCTCATTGGTCCCCACATGAAATGTACTCAAAAGAGAAAGAGACAGCCTGACACTGCGCCCTGCAAGGAGGGGTTGGATTAGCTGTTTCTCACTTCATGATAAGGTACAATGTACAGTCCTTACTGCATACTTGACCATGATAGTGCGTTTGGCGTACGTCACAGTCTTCCCAACCTGCCAAGCTGAGGTCCTGTTTTTCAGATGTCGGCCTCGGTCTTAAGCGTATTAGGTAAGCGGATAACATGACCTAAGCAGTCAATTTCCCAGGGCCACCTGGGTAGGTGGTTCGCTCGCATGGCTTGCCGTTTCGAAACACACTAATCTCCACTTCGTAGCCCTACGAAGTACGCGAATACGAAATGTCTCAATATTGATCTCTGCTGATTATTCTAATCTGTCGGCTTCTCCCACATTCGAAGATATTCTCTCGTGCCATCTTCAATGTTTCTTCCATCTTCCATCGATTCCAACCCAGTACGAAGATTGCCCAATTAGGAAATAATGAGTCAACAGATCGAGATCTAGCCACAGTCCAGAACAATAGAATTCAGGGTCTATGTTATGGGGATCGGATGTACGGAGTAAATAATACATTAATCATCGGCCAACAGCGTATGCTCGGCCAACAGCGCCATGGCTGGCTGTCAACCACTTTGTTGAACGCCCAATAATCGACATCGGATCCTCGGCTTTTCGCTGCTAAATTTTCCGGAGATCCACTGTTCTTGACATGACATCAAGGACTTTGTCTTCGGCCGATTGTACTGTTGGCCGAGAGATGGATTCTTTTATTGATTCTATTGTAAAGTGCCTCTTCAGGTGAGTTGCTAATTGTCTAGCCGGGTCGAAATGATGTGAACACCACATATTACATATGAGCTGAGATTGTGGAATAGGCGAGAATCGATTATTTGCCACCATTCAAAATAGGCAACGTGGTGTATCTCGACGCTAATAATTCTTCATGGATAGCTTATTCTCTTCATTTCACATTAATAACCAGCGTAAACATAAAACTATCCCACCTGACCTGGAATGCTTCATACCTATTTAGGTAAAGCGGCTCGTAAGGCTACATTACATTATTCCTCCGACTCTCGGAATTAAATCCATCCGCAAATTCAGGCAAAGTCCGTATCCGAGTTCCGTTGTCCGGGTGGATCGTGCACTGTGCACACTTAATGCCTCTGATATGCATCCCTAGTCCACTTTGCCAATTCACGTTAGCCTTGGAGGTCTAGCTTTCTTTGTATGGGTTCTCGCTATCACGGGTGATCGACACGTGCGAAAAAAACGAACGTGACTCGGCCCCGGAACTTCATAGCCGGTTCTCGTAACTGATCGTTCTCCACCGCCAGATCGAGGTTACATGCGGGTTCCTGGCTATGCGGCACATGTCTACGGGGCTGGTCGGATGAAATGGTCCGTGATAGCTTGTGACTCACGATAATACAGTTTGAGGCCTTTTTTTTCTAGTCTGTCGTGCAAGTCGGGTTCCTCACCGTCTCCACGGAGGTTTGTTAATATCTATGCAAGGTGAGCTGTTAGCTGCTAACATGTACCTTCTAATTGCCAGTTATCTAGTAAATAATTTATAGACTGTGGCCGTGATCATCCTCAGCCTCCAAGCAACGAACCCTGCGTGTAGTTCATCAGAACAAAAAAATAAAGCAAGCGGCTGGAGGATTGAAAGCAAAGCCGGGAAACATATTTCCAAGGCAAGATCGGCGCTTTGACCAATCTCTGCCTTCTTTGTTCCCGTGAAGAATCGCTTATCCACTGACATGGGATAGGAAGCAAGCCACATGATATCGTCATCGATCTATATCTACATACCCATGTCGCATCGTCTGGCACCATCAACATGAATACGAAACGTGTACAGATCATCACCCTACGGCATACAGAAAGAGAATTACTTCATGCTCAATTATTAGCATTCATGTTAACACACAGTTCATAGTCAAGTGACGCCTCGACACCAGACTCCAGCAAAATACATCCCTTCAAGACATCTCATTTCACGCGAAAGAACATTTCGTTGCCAAGGTAGTCGACAAGATAGGCCGAATTGTCCGGGTTAGCCATACGCAGATCAGCATAGGCAAGAGCACGATCAATGGTCATCTCAATGTCGTGCAGGTCAGGGGCATAGCCATGGAAGCGGAGCTTGTGAAGAACAGCCCTGATCCAGTTGACGCAGTTCTGCGGCGGATAAGCACCCTTAATCGGTATCTGAACAGACTGAAGGAGGATCTTGATAGTCTCCGGGCCGATTCCATCGTTGACTTCGCCGATTGCCATTCTGATGAGGAGAGAGTCACACGAGTCCGGATGGATGTTGGTCTTGACACGGTAGGTCCATTGGAAGTCTGGGTTGAGGTCGCGCCGAAGCACTGGGTCTGGCGAGGATCCATCGGTCACGTCGTAGGCGTACCAGCGATCGTTCTTGAGATCCCAGACGAGGATGGCCCAGTGGTACGCAGAGAAGCCGAGGCGGCGTCGGTAGTCGCCAAGGGACAGCTCGCCGCGGTGGTAGACTGCCAGGAACAGTTGATAGCTATTGGTGGGTGGGGAATACGAGCTGATCTCGCGCTCGGGGGGAGCATCGCTGATCTATATGTGTATACTTTTGTTAATCACTCTTCTGGGCTTCAATTTCGAAGGCAGACTCACAGGAAGATCAATTGGATACATGGTCATGGTGCTTCAGGATTTACACGGATGTGTGTGGTTGGGATGGGTCGAAGTTTGTTTACCTGCTTTTCTCCGATCGAGCTCCTGAGCGGGAGCCCTCTGCAGCTTTTATTGCCTTTTCTACGCTACCGCCTGAATCATCTTCGAGCACAATTCAGTTGTTGCTGCCTGCCTAAGATGGCTATATCAAATGGACAGCCTATTGATAACTGTGGCGAAGAGAAACGAGGCTATCTGCAAGTTTATAACCCCAGTTTATAGATATTTGAAGCTATACAGATACCCGCGCACGGACCACCTTGGCGTATAGTTCGAAGGCTACCCATCCCCTCGATTTTCAACCATAAAGGACCGAAGCTAAGCATAACTAATAATAAATCAGACTGAATTAATAGATAATAGTAGAATGAGAGACAACTGAGAGCAGTTGGATCAATCAAAAACGGCGACTTGCTCTAGGCACCTGGTGGACTACAACATAGGATGATAGTCTGATATTTGCGGCACTTTGGCACAAACACATAATAATAGAGACCGTATGACTTTTGACAGATCTTATGATTGAATAGACAGTAAATAACTTGTATACTCTTTCAAGTGTTCTAGATCGTGCATATAGTGATATGTCTATATTTGGTAAACAAGTGCGACACACAACCTTGGAATCCAGTCGACCAAAATGCTGATAGGAGTTGAGAGGCTTTCTTCACCGCTGAAATAAGTCTGATAAAATTAAGAAAAAAAACCCTAGTTAGGATGAAAGATATTCTATTTGCTCTCTTTGTCCTAAAAAAGAAACAATAACCCTGATGGCAGCCTACCGGAGGGCTATAACCTCTAAAATTATGTCAAAGGCTATCCTTAGAAAGTCCATTTCACAAATTAAGCCTTTTTTTGGCCCTTTTATACTATCTACCCAACAAACTGAGAAGGTGGAGAAGACGTCTATATCACCAGGCACTAAAAAGACTACCAAGACTATCCAAGGAGACTAAAAAGACATATCGGAGAAGACTACGCCGGATAAGCGGCCGACTGCTCATGTATTCAATTATGGTAATGTGACAAGGAGTTTACTTTTTCGAGGAGACTCAGGTCCAGTCCCTTGTTATTCTATATTGTCTATAATATTTACCGCTTTCGTATACATATATATAGGAGACAGCTGGGCTGTAGGAACAATGTGGTCAAGCATTTCATTGTGCGCTTAGTGTCCGAGTACCCTAAAAAAACCATCTCACATTGAACATAGACAAGAAATCAAAATTACAGAAAGGAAGGCAGTCTGGACATGAGAATGATGGAGAAATCTCAATATAACGGCTGCCCAGAGTAACTTGGAACTTAATGTCCAGCAAGGTGACCAACACTCGTCATGCAAATTTGTTACACAAGCTTCACCCTTAGTATTGATCTCAAGGCAGAGACAAGAACAGCTTCTTCAACTTAGGATAATTAGGTGTGCCCAATCCGGTAGCCGGATCCCAGCTGCATGGTATGTTAACAATAAGCCCATAGCCAAGGTTGAATGATTGTACTCACCCTGGAATAGCACTGAAGCCGACTGAATCACATCCAAGATTGGTGCCGTTTGTGATATCATTAAGAACTTCCGAATGAGCGTAAAGCACGGGGTTCACGAAACCAATAGGGCCTTTGCCCTGGTCAAAACGCTCCTCGTTAATCTACAAGAAGAGAACCATTAGCAGAGTAAAAACACAAACTCGAAGTCTCAACTCACCAAATTGAGGATCGAAGCGAACAATGGCGACGCCAAGCTAGCCCCATAGTAGTGTTTAATCTTTCCACCATTGTAAGCGGGGAACACGGCGCCATTAGCCGACACATCAGGATAACCACGACCAATACGGTTGTAAAGACCCTTTGTCTTGTTAAGATTGACTTCCATCTCAGAGTAGTAAGGGTAAGTCAGCTTAGCCTTCTGGAAGTACTTCTCGACGGCTTCCTTCTGGTACGAAGGCTGCGGGAAGTAGTTGGAGAAGCCACCCGAACTGGTGAAGTTTGCGGAATCACCACCCAAATCAGCGGACATTACGCTCTCGGCATCCTTGATTGTCTGATCGGCGTACAGCATAGTGCCTCCGATGGAGGTCACGTAGGGGCAGTTCGAGGGGTATTGAGGGTTGAAGATCTTTCCCTCGGGTCCCAGACATCCGTTGGCGGACCCATCGTTGTGGAAGGAGGCGACGCCGTAGTCGCCAGAGGAGAACAGGATGGAGTGGCCCTGCAGGCCAAGCTTCAGGAACTCATTGCATTGGCGCTTGGTGTAGGCGATTGGGAGATCGGCTTCGGCTTGTCCGTAGGAGGCGCTGATGACGGTTGTGGGCTTGTATACACCGCATTGAAGCTCGCCTGTTTTTGCGTGAGCGATCAGATTACTCTGGTTGGTGGGAATGGTATGTTACCTTTGTAGCCACCAGGACGCGGGTTGGGATAAACTGGATCGATGTCAGGGTTATTGCCTGTTTCGCCGAACGCACTGTACGTGCAGTAAGACTACATATGTTTGTTAGTAAGATGCATTTGGCTTTCGGAATAATATAATGTACACCATCAAGAGCGTCAAGGAAAGTGTTGAACAGGTTGGTGGTCTTTTCCTCTTCCGGTTCGTAAGTCTGGTCATCAACCTGGTAAAGAGTCACAGACTGGGGGTAGATAAGCGAATAACTGGCGTCGTTAGCAAAGAACAGAAAAGCAACTAGAAAAACGCAAATTGTACTTACGCCATGTCAATGTCGATATCCGCTTCACCAGCATTCAGCGGGCTGTAATCCGGTACCGAGAAGTTGGCTCCATCAATCAAGGCAGGAATGGGATAAGTGCCCTGAGGAATCCAAGGAGCATAGTGTTTGTAGTAGAGATCAAGGTCTGACTTGGCAAAGTAGTCACCCTGCTCGTAGAGACCAAGCGAGTTGCCCTTCGCCGCCTTGGTGGCATCTGGGATATTGTACAAGGCCTTGATGCAGGCCGGAGTCATGTCAGTTCCGCATCTCTGGAGATCTACAGGAAGTGACTTCGCCTTTTCAGAAACAACCGCAGTTTTGATAGAGTCATCGGCTTCCACTGCACCCTTGGAATGAGCCAAGTGCGACATCCGCTTTGCCTTGGTGTTCTTCTTGACGATGGGGCTGAGCTTGACTCCAGGAGTGATATAGTCAATGTACGCCTGGATATGCTCGGGAACATGATACCTGATGCTGTTAATCCAAGGGTCCAAAGGTTGTTAGGAAGCAGCAGCAAGACTTACTCCTCGCAGCCAATCTTCATGCTGGAAGTGCTGGCATGCTCATGTTCATAGAACTCAGCCTTGAACAAATCTTCCACTTCATGTGCATAGGCATCAAAAGCCAACCATCCCTTGTTATCGGAGTGTACAATCCGGGGCTCATGGATCCCAGACGATTCAAGCCACCGACGAACAGAGTCAACAGAATCCTTTGAAGGAGCGAAAATTTCATGAACTTCCTCTGCAGACCAATACTGCCCATATTTGGCAGATTTCGGGTCAGAACTATACAAGTATTAGTACCAGGGCGCATACAAAACACACAATGTAAAACCAACTCACACAGCCATGAGATACTCCTCACCCTTCTCCAAATTATTCTGAGTAAGACCAATGCGCACAGGAAGCACGGAATTGCGCTCAATGCGCTCGCCTTTCACCCAATCCACATGCTCGCTTCGCTTTTCATGCAAGACATGCTTCACTGGTGATGGGACGGCTCCAGAAAGAGCCGCAATCGCCAGAGCGACGCAGACCTGAAGTACCAACATCTCAAGAAATAGAGAGCTGTGATGATACGGCCATCCTGCTGGCACAGGGGAAATTTCCCCCTGATATATACTCCATCGTACACGCGGAAACAGCTAATCGCAATGGTATGATTGCGACCCTAATTTCCCGCTTCTCCAATAGCGAAAAAGGCACCAATTATGTTTGGCAGGTCTGATTGGATATATTCCGTAGTATCTGCATGATGTTTGAGACACCAAATTCGGGATTCAACGTCCGACACTAGAGATCAACCTCTTTGGCGAAGACATTTGACTTCCAAGGGCACAGTTGGCAAGTTCTGTTTGATATGAAGATGATCATCGCATTCTATTGGGCTTATTCTGCCAATGTTGTGTGTCATTGCTTGGTTATTGCTTGGTTATTGCTTGGTGTTTGATTGGTGTTTCAGTCTTATCTCAGGAGACCGGTGTTGAGTACCCCTGCAGCGGAGCTCCGACGGGGAAATCCATGTTACAACCGTTCGTTTCGAGTTGCAATAGGAGATCCAATTGCGAAGAGAACGTTGAGTTGATTGAACTTTGTCCCTGTGGAAAGGAAGACAAAAGGGACATCTTTTACTTTATTTGCTTTCTTGTGACCTCGGGAGGCATCAGGGGGTTAATGTAATAGACTACGTAGCGCGTGTACTCAAAATATATGTGTAAATTTATCTAAATCAAAAAGAAAACCTGGCATCATCATCATATCGAATATCCATCACAGTGGAAACCACATAGATGGCATCCCTTTTTTTTTACGAGAAAAGGGAAAGGGGAATAGAGGGGAAAAGACACCGAAAGACGACAACCAGTAGAACAATCTAGTGGTGGAAGAGACGGATGCCCTGCTCGACAAAGGTGATGCCCAGCTTCTCGGCAGTCTCGAAGACGGGGGTGTCGTTCTGGCTGCCAGTGGGGGCGGCGATGTACTTGACACCTGAGCGGGCGGCACGGAAGACGTTGTCGATGAAGGGGAACTAGTGGAGACAATTAGCATTTACCACCGAAGAGAGAATATGGGCGGACATGGAAGGGGATTACTTACGAAGGCATCGGACGAGACAGCGACCTCGCCAAGCTTCTGGAGCCAAGCCTCACGCTCCTCCTGGGTGAAGGGAGCCGGGACCTCCTCGAAGACACGCTCGTACTCTGCAGTCTCGGCCTCGGTGCGGGGGGTCTGGCCCGAGCAGAGCAGGTCGATGGCGTTGGACTTGTCAGCCCGCTTGGTGCCCTGCTTCCACTTGATGCCGATGACGCGCTCGTGGAAGCGCATCCACCAGTTGTCGGCCTTGTCACCGGCGAGACGGGTGCAGTGGATACGGCTCTGCTGGCCAGCGCCCAGGCCGATGATTTGGCCGTTCAGGGCGTAGCAGACGGAGTTAGACTGAGTGTACTTGAGGGCAATGGTGGCGACGGTCAAGTCACGGAGAGCAGCCTCGGGGAGGGAGGTGGTGTTCTTGGGGGTGATGACGGTATTGAAGGTCTTGCTGGGAGAGATGATGACGTCGTTGCGGTGCTGGGTCAGCTGGACACCATACAGAGTGCGGGTCTCCTCGGGTGCCGGGGTGTAGTCCTCGTCCATCTGGAGGACCAGGTACTTGCCGCCCTTCTTCTTGGAGAGGATGGCCAGAGCCTCGGGCTCGTAGCCAACGGCGATGACACCGTCTGACACCTCGCGCGAGATAATCTTGGCGGTGGGGACATCGACTATGTCACTGAGGGCCAGAATGTCACCGAAGCTGGACATGCGGTCGGCACCACGGGCACGAGCATAAGCCTGAGCCAGACCGGAGGTCTCGATGTCTTTGATATCATCCACCATGTACACCTTGCGCTCCTTCTCGTTCAGGGGCACGCCGATAGCGGCACCAGCAGGGGAAACGTGCTTGAAGCTGGCGGCGGCGGGGAAGCCAAGAGCCTGCTTGAGCTCCTTAACCAGAGGCCAGGCATTCAGGGCATCGAGCAGGTTAACGTAGCCAGGAGATCCGTTGAGGACCTTGAAAGGCAGCTGGCTCTGAACCATGTAGGCAGAGGCGGGCTTCTGGTGGGGATTGGTACCGTAGCGCAGCGACAGCTGCTGCTGACCGTTGCCAGCATACTCCTTGCGGAAAAATCCTGAGATAGCGGAGTCGTAGTCGGCAGTCTGCTCGAACGCCTTGAGGGCGTACTGCTTGCGGCTAGCATCGGTGATCGCGCCGGCCTCAAGCTCCTTGAGGAAATCGGAGTAGTCGCGGGGGTCTGACAGGATGGTCACACGCTTGTGGTTCTTGGCCGCAGCACGGAGCAGAGTCACACCGCCAATATCGACCTCCTCCACGGCCTCATCGATGGTGACGTTGACCTTCGCGACGGTCTCCTTGAAAGGGTACAGGTTGCACACGACATAGTCGACCTTGGAGATCTTCTGCTCGGCGAGGTCCTTCTCGTCGGACTCGATATCACGGGCAAGGATACCACCGTGCACGGCGGGGTGAAGGGTCTTGACGCGGCCACCGAGCATCTCGGGGGCGTTGGTGATGGCAGAGACATCCCTGGGATTAATTGTCAGTGCCTGGGCTGTGTATTGATCCTAACGATTCTTCTTGTATTTCGTTGGGCCATTGACGACAGAGCCGACTCACTCGACAGGGAATCCAGCCTCACGGATCATCTTAGCGGTACCGCCAGACGCGAGAAGACGGACTTCTTGCTTGACCAGACCCTTGGCCAGGTCAAGGAGACCAGTCTTATCATAGACGGAAATGATAGCTATTCAATTTCAAAACAAGGATATTAGAATTGGCCTCGAACTGCTTGTGACAATAATATCATAGTCCGGGGAACTATGAAGTCCAAGAGCGACATACCGGACTTTTGTTGAGACATGATGAATCCGACGGTCGACACTAGAACTGTTAGAGAAGGAATTCCAAAATCCAACCCGCAGTCGAAAGAAAGAATCAAAATGACATACCTAAAACCAAGCGAGAGGGTATAATAAGTGACGAACAGAAGAAAAAGAAGAAAATATGACTCCGCGGGGTCAGACCGATTGCGGCGGCGGGGCTTGATAGCAAAAGTTATATTACGTGATCGACCTCAGCCCGCTGTGGCGCCAGCCAATAGGAGGCCGGCATTATGAAGAAGGCCTTAGCGTAGCACGTGATCGTGGGATACATAAGAGATTTCTCAGAGGCGCCGTCTGCTCTTTTCTTTTTTTTTCTTCTTCATGAACAACGCAAAACTCACATTCTACTCAAAAAGCGTTCCTACGAAGACTCGTCTGATGAAGTACGGAAATCGTATAGAGAATGGAGACCAAGTGCCAACTGGCAAAGGTGTCGATCTTGGGTGCAGTGCCTGCTGACCTCTGGTCATGTAGTAGGGATTGCAATGATTGATTCTACATACCAAAAATAATAAATATCATTGAATCTTTTCTTGAAAACTTCGTCTCATGTAATTATTGTAGCCCTTACCTAGGTAGGGTTCTTCAGTCTCCTGTGAGTACAGATTTTGGCGCAGCGGAAAGGCAGAGCGGAGCTGATCTCTATTACAATTCTTTATCAAAGCCATAAATTATTTGAAATGTACATTAACCGTTCCCTGCCCTCATATAAGACTGTTCCCCAGTGAAACTCGAGTCCTTGATTCTGAACCAGGAAAACTCAGGCGCTTTTCGACCCTCATGGCTTCATGACATCTCTGACGCCAGCTCCGATGGCAAGCTGACGGCCAACATTTCCAAAGCACACGCACGCGCAGAAAATGACACTGGCAATCCAAGTGCCGACCGCAATGCTCTCCTGTGTGATACCTGCACCCAGCACGTTTTCCAGTCCTGTTCCATTCAGAAGAGTGGTGCCGAATGACGGCCCAGTCGATATGGGCACAAGCTCTGGCTTGAGGCCAAGAACCACCCCCATGCCGGCCAAGCCAATGGTGGTCGAGAGGACGAAGCCGGTTGTGGTGCGGTCAATCAGGTACCAGAGAACGGGGTTCGCGAGTGCGAGGGTCAACGATGCTTGCGTGGTAGATTCCCAAGGGAGTCTCCGCTGTAAAAAAAATCGGGATGTCAGCATATCACATAGAAATAGAGAAGGACGGGGAATGCAGAAAACATCGCCTGTACACTTACCATAGCAAATGCAATTCCGACAAACGCTCCAACACTGCGGGCAACAGTAACCCAAGACGGGGTGCGATCCTCGCTCTCCTCATCATTGGTACTCGCAAGCTTCGAATCAGACTCGCCCTCGCGACAGCTATCCAGCCAAGGAAGCAGATTACCCAGAGCAATACCAGCCAACCCCCAGAAGTTCAAGTACTGCCATGAATCGTAGTAATGAATATTCTCCAGCTTGACAGGCGTAATCCAATGGTTATCATGAAGATGAACCGTGATCACACCGTAAGCAACACCAAAGCCAAAGAGCAGCACACTGCTTAATGCCTGTGGCAAGATCACGCCCCGGAACAACCCATGGCTCAAGCGAGACCGAGTCCTCCGCAGCGCTATCCGCCGCTGTAACGGCTCGGGCGGGAACTCTGCCGCCGGACTGTTGGCTTCCGTACCCCAGGGGCTGGATTCGTCGCGGAACCCGTCAAATGCCGTCGGCGAGTAGATCCCGTACAGCGTCGACGAGGTCAGGTTCATCACTGATCCCGTGCGACTCACATTCGTTGAGCTCGCCGCGTCTGCGTGCGGGTTCAGGTACTCAGTGCCTGTTGACTCGGCCGGTGTTGGAGGTCCGGATGACTCCGTAGAGGCGGGCGTCAGGTCGAATGGTCGTCTCGGGCGCGGACGCAGGATGCGAGGCTGTTCGGTCATGATGGGTAAATGGATTCTGGTTTGCGTCGCGTGTTGATTTCAAGGCTCCTCGTTTCTGTTGGGTGCTGTGGGACGGGAAACGGAGTCTCCGCGCGACAGAAGACAAATCTGTATTTTGTTTGTCCTACACGTTTGGTCGATCCCAATTCTGTAGGTAGAGCTGTAATATATTGTACAAGATGCTTTGTGCGCGTCTGGGAATGTGTCAGACGAAATGTGTAAATATGGGGAAAAGAGAGAAGTCGAGAATGGAGAATGGGGCAGCTTAGCGGGATATGACGCTTACTGGGCAACAAGGGTTATCTTGCAATGTGTTTCAGGCCAAACCAGTTTAATTCAAGTTGGTGAGAAGAGGAAAAAGTACAGATTGTCTCAACAAATTTGTCTTAGGAATCCGCTTCGTACTGTTGGCCACACCACTCTACAGCATCTGTATCCACTCTGAGACCGGACTTCCGTAACTCGTATAATCCAGCCTCTGTGTTGAATGGGTATGAAATATTTTTGAACTGTGTAAAGAACACTTCGAAGCTATCGAAGTGGGCAGATGTATGAAGAGAGGAGAAAGAGGGGGCAAATTATCACATGCAGTGCACATCGGATGTCAAGGTAGTACTGGCCACTTATATCAAGGGCTTGGGTGGAATTTCGCTCGAAATACAACCATTCCGGAAGGGAATAATACGCCTAGAGAACAGGAGAAAAGACAAACCAAACAGTAGATCGTGATACACAAGATTTCAGAACAAAAACCCAACCCTATTAGTCTTCCATCGCGTCGTCTCCATAGCCTTCCCCGCGCGGGCCAGCTACACCCCTCGGGGCAGGGGACGAAGCTTCATGTCGTGCGTAACCATTGGCGCCTTCATAGGCAGAGGAATTTTCGTCACCGTCCACATCTTCTTCATCGTCCTGATCGTCAGAGAAGTCCCCTTCCTCCTCGGCTCGGAGAGGGGCACCTCCATCATCTTCTTCACCAGAAACTTCGCCAAGGAGTTCGCGGTCGAGATCGTCCAGCTCCCCCTCTACGTAGTCGTCGGGTCCGTGCTCCGCGTCCCAGCTTGGGGTACCCATGGCTGATGGCCCAGCTCCCAACCCATCAGGATGTCCGTGAGTGCCCTTAGCCTGTGACGCTGTGGCTTTCTTGGTACTGCCAGGAGTGCCCGTTACACCCGTAGGCTTGCGCTTGGCAGCAGCACTAGGGCGAGGACGTGGACGGGATCGGTTGTTGGAGTTTCGCACATCAGCTTCCAGGGCCGCCTTGGCCTGGTATCGCTCCTCGCGCTCCTGCTTGCGATCCTTCTTGGGACCATTAGCTTCGGTATAGTCCCAGCGATCGAGTCGGCGAGCAGCTTTTCGCACTACAGAGAGAAAAACACTGGCACATTCTCCAAAGTCATCCTCTTCTTCCGGGTTCGGGAAGAGACCACCCTTGCCCCACGAGGTTTCTTCGTCGTCCGTATCGTAGCCCTCGGGCAGGCCCTGAAGCAAGCGACCGTAGCGCGCGAAAGGAATCTCACTCTCCCGTTTAGCACGGAGAATGCGGTATGCGTTTGATTTACGTTTGGCCAGCAGATAGTCAATCCTCTGCCGACGATTTTGCTCAACAGCTATCTGGTGTTGTGTAAGTGGCCGCATGCGACGCATAGTGGGTGCTGAAGAAAGCGAAGGCTCAGTAATAAAGCGATTAAGGACTGGATGGTTGGGACCCGGAGGAGCGGGGGAAGCATCAGGTGTATGTTCCATCCTCGTTTTCAAGATGAGTCGCTGTTGGCCCACGGCTCGATTAAGTGATGACTCCCGCTTGGCCTGTTTAGGGCGCGGACGAGAGTGACCAGGGGTCATATCATCGTCCTCATCATCCAGGCTGCGTTTAGCAGAAGGGTGGAGAGGGGTGGACATAGCAGAGCCACGACCTCCCATACCAGAGTAATCTCCTGCGAATGATTCTTCGTCAAAGCCGTATTCTGCGGGGAAGGTTAGCGTTCTGCGGACGGATATATGATAACTATTCAAAATGTCGAGCGCACCTTTCTTGGGTCGCTTGGGAATGCGCGGTAGTGGTTCCTCTTCTTCCAGGATGCCTGCGCCAAATGTCAGTCAAGTCCCGTTTTCAACAGCAGTCAGGCCTAAACACGTACGCTTTCGTTCTAGTCTTTTAGACTCCCCGTATTCCTGTTCCTCTGGTGTATCTAAATTCTCCTCACTGGCTTGCTCCTCTGTCAGGATGTCAAAGGGGGGTACTTTCAAAGGAAGACCCTCGGCCCCCTCGCCTTCCACACCCGGACCAAATGGATTGTTCAGAGCAGCCTCGCGACTGAAATCACTCTCTAGATACCACCACATCAGCCAAAGGAATGCCCTAGCGCGACTTTGGCTGCTAAGTGTAGATCTCATGACCAGGTCGAAGAAGTCTCGCGGAGGAAAGAAGTGTGTTTCCGACACTTTGGGAGCATACTGCGCCAGAACAAATATCAAGTTCACTGGGTTGGTTCGAGGTATATTCTGCCGCTTAATCTTTTCCAAGGTATTCGGTTGATCTACATCCTCTGAGGCGCCCTTAAGAATGGACTTGAGACGAGGAGCATCCTGGAGCTGCTTATACGCGTTGGAATCCTGATGCGCTTGTAGTGAGGGAATCGAGTGGTACGTTCGGAGTTGAGCGCGCATTTCAGGAAAGACTAGAAACAAGATAATAGCAATTAGCACGGAGAAGGTAAATTATGTTGTGGCATAGATGCAAGCGTACAGTTCAGGGTAGTGTTCATGCGACCGAAATTGACCAGCAGACAGACCATAGCCATATTGATAGCCGCAGGTTTATCGTTCTGCAGTTTGTCCTTCAGAATCTTGCTGGTCTTGCTGCTCCGGGCCATTGCATTGATGTAGACATCGGCGAAGTCCATTCCCTTCTGTCCGTCGGGATACCGCGTAAAAACGGGCGTTTTGTCCTCAAAGACCAGCTTCAGGAATTGGTACTGGATATCTTTACGCCATAGAGGTATGCCATCGTCTTTCTTCAGGTGTCGAATCTTGTTGCCGGAGTAGACAGAGCCAATTGTGCCGTTCGCTTGCCGTCTTGTACCGACCGTCGCGCTAGCGGTCATGCCGTGAGACTGATCATCCGCAGCTTCGGACGCCGCGAAGGACTCGTCCATCATGCTGTTTTCGAACTCGGCCATGTTGGGGGTCATTGAGACCGGTAGCACGTTCTCGATCAGATTCTAGGAGAATCGCAGGTTGAATGTGAAGTGCCCCCTAGGAGCCGATAAAAGAGGCAGAAGTAGTATAGAAAAGAAACGAAATAGAAAGGATAAAAGTGAAAAGGAGTGCCAAGTAAAAAAGGGAAAAGGGAAAATGAAGTTCAAAAGCCGGAAAAGAGGAAGAAAGCAGAGCCGAGTGGCCCATGAAGGTATAGCTGGTGTGATATCTACCCGTATCAGAGACCTCACGCGTTTAATATGCGCCTATTGCCACGCATTTGGATTTGCAATCTATCGAGTAAGCAAAGGAATAACAGGTAACTACCTTTCACTGCGCAGTTAATATTATTGAAACGTTCATCTAATAACTAGTTACCTAGGTAGCTAGTTAACTAAGACTAATTAACTACCTAATTTAGTAATACGTATGTGTGGGTACATTTTATATCTGCATATTAATCCTATATCCTATATGTACTTGAATCCTACTTCCATCTTACATCTACATCCTACAAGGAAACCTGCTTCACAACCTAGACCAAGATAATTGGAAGCACTTTTTCGAAATTGCATTGGATAAGAGAACTTTCCTTCTCGCGGCCGTCCCAGGGCCGTTGGTTCGCTTTGTCCTCCCAATTCGAACCCGAGAATTCATAAGTATATCCATTCTTGCAGCGGCGACAGCGTCCTATCCCCCGAGGTCCGAGAAAAATGATCAGAATAGATAAGGAAATGAAGCGAGATGCTCCTATTCGGAGACAATCAGCCTCCACGGACCCGAAAGCAGAAGACATGCAGTTGCAGGTCAAGCCAACGCCATACAGAATGCAAAGAATACCCATTTTTGGTTTCGAAACACACCAGCCGCGCCGTAAGGTGTAACGGCGAGATAACCGGTATCCGAGAAAAAAAAAGCCCGGAGAAAGAAAGCGCACGTTTTTGTTTTCGAAGGAAAATCGAAATCGATTGCAGAACGCACGAGGGCAGCAACAGAAACAAATGTCCGCCATGAGATACCGACGCTGTAAAAAGTCTATGCTGCACACGATGAATGCAGCCATAACAACACCGAGAAGATGAATGCGAAGAAAAAAGAGAACTTTTCGAGATGATGAAAAGTCATCATCCGCTCGGCGCACGCGCGTCACTCGAACGTATCCCCAATGAGGATGCTCGAACATAAGGGGTATCTGACGAGAGCGGACATAGGAAAAAAAAAAGACAACGCATTCTATGATGTTCATGCACTGTCGATCACGGTTGCCGGAGAGAGTAATGGTGTCTCCCAGAAGCAAGGGAAGAAGATCGGACTGCGCGAATGCCTCGTATCTATACAAGGCAATATTAAAGGCCATGGATAGAATCAGCGAAGAGAGACATGAGAGGAACAACAAAGGAAACCAGATTAAAGCATACGCAAACGGGGGAAGTATGAATCTAAAACAAGCATAGGAAAGTCGTGCAGTCATGACAAAGCCGTCCCTGAGAGATAGCACAGGTAGAAAAGAACTCAGGGACTCAATCTGATCGTATCCGTCAATGAGAGACAAAAGAAAATAAAGCAAGGGAGCCAATCAGACCCGAGGGCATCGTCAAAGGACCACGACTGATTTACCACCAGGAAGATGGGCCGGAGGAGCCGGAGGGGTTGCCGTAGCTGCCACCGCCGCCATAACCACCACCGCCGTAGGAGGGGGCAGGACCGCCATAGCCGCCGCCATAGGAGGGAGCAGCACCTCCAGAGCCACCGTAGCCGCCGGGACCGCCGAAGCCACCACCCATGCCGCCGGGGACACGACGCACGTCACGAGTAGCAGCAGCACCACGGCCACGGCCACCACCACCGCGGCCACGACCGCTGAATCCGCTACCTTCGCGGGCAATGCTCTCCAGGAAAGCGGGAACCTCCTGGTGGGCCTCCTTCAGAAGCTCGAGCAAGTCACGAACAACACCACGGTTGCCACGGTTGAAGAAAGCAGTGGCAATACCGGTGTTACCGGCACGACCAGTACGACCAATGCGGTGAACGTAGTCGTCAATGTCAGTGGGGAGATCATAGTTGATAACGTGGGTCACGTTAGGGATATCGAGACCACGGGCAGCAACGGCAGTGGCAACCAGAATAGGGCAGCGACCATTACGGAAGAGCTCCAGAGCACGCTCACGTTCGCGCTGGGTACGATCACCGTGAATGGCGGTCGCAGGGAAACGCTGGTTAATGAGGAAGTCGGAGAGCGAGTCGGCCATGCGTTTGGTCTCAACGAAAATGAGAGTCAGGCCAGTGCTACCGTGGGTGTGGAGAATGTCCAGCAAGACGGAGCGCTTGTCAGCATCCTCGACATACTCGACCTTCTGGGTGATGTTCTCCGAAGTACTTCCGACACGACCAACGGACAAGAAGATGTAGTCCTTGAGGAAATCACGAGCAAGCATTTGGATATCGCGGGGGAAGGTGGCCGAGAACATCAGTGTTTGGCGATTCTCGACAACGGGCATGTCCTCACCCTCGACAATGCGGCGAATCTGGGGCTCGAAACCCATGTCCAGCATGCGATCAGCCTCGTCAAGAACGAGGTACTTGATGTTAGCCAGGGAGATACGGCCACGCTCAATCAGATCAACAAGACGACCGGGGGTGGCAACGAGGAGATCGCAACCACGCTCGATCTGACGAAGCTGGGAGCCGATGTCTGCACCACCGTACACGACGCAGGGGCGAACCCACGAGCGGTAAGCGAACTTGCGGGCCTCCTCGAAGATCTGAGAGACCAACTCACGAGTGGGAGCAAGAATGAGGGAGGTAGGGTAAGCCTTGCGCTGGCGGCCGTAGCTGAACTGACCACCACCGCCCTGGACAGGGGCGGCGGAGGGACCGTTCTGGAAAGCCTGAGAGAGGATAGGGAAAAGGAAACCACCAGTCTTTCCGGAACCGGTCTGGGCACAGGCCATAAGATCACGGCCGTTCATGACGATGGGGACCGAGTACTTCTGGACGGGGGTAGGAATGACATAGCTGGCAAGCTTGATGTTGGCGATCAAGTGATCGTCCAGAGGAGGGTTGGTGAACTGGGTGACAGGCTCTGGGACATCATTTCCGGAGGCCTCGACGGGGATATCATCGTAGTTGGAGAAGTTAATTCCAGTCTGCTGCTTAGAGGGGTCGTTGGGCACTCCGAACAGCTCGCGCTCCAAGCGAGCATTGGCGGGACCGGGAACGTGCTTGCCGTCGCGCCACTGGCCATCGCCTGATCCACGAGCTTGCTGACCACCACCACCGCTGTAGCTGCCGCTGGTGCCACCGCCATAAGATCCTGGGTTTCCGTAAGCATTGGGATTGAAGGGTCGGAGTTTTCCGTCGGAAGTCCAGCTGGTCATACCGTTCGCGGGGCCACGAGGGCTGAAGTTGGGAGCGTTGGCGTTGGCCCAGTTGCCACCGTCACTAGAACACGCAAAATTAGTTGCCGCTTCAAGATGTTCAGTCTTCCAGGTACTGTACCGAGGAGCACCGAAGCCAGGGCCAGAAGGAGCAGCGCCAGCGTTAGCACTGGGGGCAGGACCGGGACCACGCTGACGAAGGTGAGGAGGAATGTAGGCAGCACGGCCAACAGGGGCGTTACCCTGGGGGGCGTGCTGAGACTCGTTGAGGGAAAGGTTTCCCATTTGCAAACCGTCGGCCATACTTGCGGTTGGAAATGTCTATCGCAGAGCAAGAGTTAGAAGGTGCTCGATGTCGATGAAAGCAGGTGAAGGATACTGCGTACAGCTTTTTTTTGCTTCACCGGGAAAGATTTGTTGGTCGTAGATAAAGCACAAGTGATCTGCAAAAGATACTTGCAAAGAATAAGAAATCCACGTAAAGTGTACCTTTAAGAGAAGAGAGAGAGAGAGAGAAAGAGAGGGACGTGAAAAGATCAAATCGCTTTTCTGTTTCAACTCGATAAGAAAAAAAAAAGATCGAGTGGCAAACAAGAAAGCTCAGGAAAACCACAGATAAGATGGAAAATGCAAATCTCCCGAATCTAAGAACTCTAGAGAGAAGAGAGAGAGAGAGAGAGTAGTGAGAAAAGGGATGATGGAGGGGGGTTGTATCAAGCGAAAGAGAACGGGTGGATGAAGTCTGTGGGAAGGAGGCAAAGTTGGAGAATTGGGGCGCGGTGTGGCTATTGGAGGTACCTCAGAGGAACCTATTTTATAGTGGGAATTCCCGCTTACCAGAAGTACTCACCAGGTACTTACCGCCACTGAAGAAATTTCTACTCGCCAGTTGCTGCTCGCGGGCGGTCTGAGGCCATGTCTGACTAAGACAGGAGGCGAGCGATGTGACTGGACCAAACCTTGGAAGTATATCACCACCTGCGTGACCACAAGGTAACATCCATAGATATAGATGATCTATCAATTTCTGATGAGGACAGTCATCGGGCGCTGGAATCCAGGGCTTTAGGGCGGGCCGAAGGTCCAAAAATAACATATAATTGATCTAACATCATCTCTTATGCAACATATTGTTCTTTCTCTTGCTGTTGCTGTTGCTGTTGCTGTTGCTGCTGGCCTCGCCGACCGGCAATCCAGATACCCACAACGGCGACCAGAACGAAGAAAATCATGGTCGGCTGCAAGGAGTAAGATGGCGCGGCAGCCTCGGGAGCATCGGGAATATCGGGAGCTTTGTCGGTGACACCCGGCTCTTGGTTGAGTTCTTAAGATATCCAACATCATCAGCCACTTCCGACCAGTAGCAGAGAAAACATCGCGCAGGCAGTCACCTGTCTAGAGCTCATCGCGGCTACCTTTGTCCTCGGTTTCAGGCTCAAGCTCGAGCTCACCGCTCTTCACGATCTTAACCGCCAGCTTGGGCTTATCGCCGGGTCCCTTGGGAACATTTTGGATCTTGTCGACAACCTCGTAGCCCTCGAGAACCTCGCCGAAGACGACATGGCGGCCATCGAGCCAACTGCGTGGTTTCAAGTCAGTTATTGTACCAAACGAAACACTGCAAGGGATACGAACGAAGTGATAGCGGTGGTGATGAAGAACTGAGAGCCGTTGGTGTCCTTGCCGGCGTTGGCCATGCCTAAGAATGGTTAGATGCCTGTGAGATTGAACCAAAGGAGTGGAAATGCATACTCAGCTGGCCCTTCTTGGTGTGACGCAGCTTGAAGTTCTCATCCTTGAACTTGTTGCCGTAGATCGACTTTCCGCCGGTGCCTGTACACACTTAGTACATCCAACCTAACCTGCTCGGAAGCTCACAAACCATCTCCCTTAGTGAAGTCACCACCCTGGATCATGAAATCCTTGATAACACGGTGGAAAGTAGAGTCCTGGTAACCAAAGCCCTTCTCGCCAGTAGCCAGAGCGCTAGAAGTGGGTTAGCATATGCAAGACATACGTTCGAGGACTTGACATAGCGAGTTCACCATACCGGAAGTTCTCAGCGGTCTATACAAATAACGTCAGAAATGATTCTCGATTGCTGATTCCATAGGGATATAGTTCTACGAACCTCAGGGACTGTCTTGCCGTACAAGCCCATCACAATGCGACCGAGGGACTCATCTCCATGCTGAATATCGAAGTAGACCTGTCACTAAAAATCAGCATTGCTTGTATATAGCGCAAGCCAGAACATCAACGCCAATCACCTTGGAGGTAATCTTAGGGCCGCGAGGTCCCTTGGACTCTTCGGCCTGAACTAGGGCAAAGCCGACGGCGAAGACCAAGAAAAGGGACAAGAAAAGGTTTCGGAGATACATGCTTGCTAAATGCCACTGCTCTGGTAGGATACAGTCAAAGGCGAATATGGAGCAATTGGGAGGGGAAGAAGGCCAGCTTGCAATGGCGTGTGGAGAACAGATGTGTTTCTGCCGGAAAGTCCAGGCATCAAATTACGGAAAAACGTTAACGTTGACGGAGGATTTCTCCCGGGGTTCAACGAGAGCAACAAGTGACGGCCCGTACGATTGTCAGAACACCAGCCAGCCAACACAATTCAAGATGGTATGATAGCCACCGTCAAGATGTAATATACCCTTCCAAGAAACCCCGCTAATAACTCTTAGGTTTTCATCCTTGGTGTCAATTTCCCCGAGCGGAACCTGCTCAAGGCAAGCCAACCCTCACGATTGCGCCCCCAACCTCGATATCCCAACTAACTTGCATTGAACACAACAGAAGTCCCTCGAGACTTTTTTTGGAATCGGCAACAATAGCTCCGCCCGCCTTATGTCCCGCTTCAACATCCACCCGACCTGCCGCGTCGGCGAGCTGGCCAACAAGCAGGTTCTCGACCTCACAGCCGTGCTGTCTGAGATGAAAATTGAGAACGATCTGCGCAGAGAAGTTCTGAACGATATCAAGCGCATGAAGGAGACCGGAACTTACCGCGGCCGACGTCATGCGCTGGGCTTGCCTGTGAGAGGACAGCGGACACGGACTCAAGTGGGTTTCCTTTCTTCTCTCTCGTGATATCTCAGCTTGCGCTGCTGTATCTCAGAGAGACTATGCGTATTTGGGGCTAACTATATTCCAATAGATCAAAACTCCTGTCAAGTTGAACCGCATGGAGCGGAGACTATAGACCTGCTGGTATCTTGTCCGATTATTACTTTTATGGGATTGTCTCACTATTTTGCGTGAGAGGCATGGATTTGGCGTTGTATTGATTTCTGGCACTCGGCCTTTGCCACTTTGTATGTGAACCCCTCTGTGGATGTATTATAGGCTAGACATGAACCTGGGTGAATAGCAGCTTCAAAACAAAAATATTTATGTACGGCAAAGTTGTAAGACAATTAGTCTGCAGTTTGATATATATCAATTGTGAGCTAAAGATATACGCGAAGATGGAAAGGTAAGGATAAAAAAATATGTGTAAGTCTAAACTTTTGCCCTCAACCAAGTGTTAAACGCCAGGCCCATATGTGCACTCATGCTTTCGAAGACAGCACGCCTTCGCCGCGGTTGATTTGGATCCGCTTATCCTCGCCCGCGCTGACAATGCCCACTGTCTTGTCCCAGCACACACTGAACACCTTGACACCTTCACCGCCAACCCGCTTGCTATCCGACTTACCCTCTTCCTCGAGGCTCTTCCGGGTAATCGAGTAAACACTCTCACCAACAACACCTTCCTTGTCGGTCTTGGTGGACCGGATATCCCAAATTCTGCACGTGCCATCGTGACTACCGCTAATGAGACCATATGTGCTGTGGGGGTCACGGGCCAAGCCAACAACAGCGTTGGTGTGGCCTCGGAGAGTCATGGCAGCCACAGTCGTGGCAGATGCACGGGGGTCAATCAGAGTGATATGACGGGCGGCAGTACCGGCAGCCAAGAGGCTGAGTTCGGGGAGGTGCTCAAGCGAGAGCAGTGAGTGTGATGTGGTGCGAGTATCAACCAGAGAAGCAGTGACCAAATCCCAGGTCCGCAGGGAGTGATCCCATGAGGCCGAGTAACCAACGGTAGCATCTTTTGCGTCGAAAATAGCAGCAGAGACCGGTGCCGTGTGCGCTGACAGGAGAGTCAGAGGGCCACGCTGAGGTGTGCTGACAGATGTGTTCAGCTTCCGGCGCTTTGTGTTCCGAGCATTGCTGGAAGGAAGCAAGTTTTCAGGCGCTGCCGGCGCATCAGCCTTCTTAGTTGACCAGAATCCAACGGTGTTGTCTGCAGAACCAGTCAATAGACGATTGGACTTGGCATGAACTGCTAGTGACTCGATTCCAGCCTTGTGACCGTACAGCTCTAGCTGGGGAGAAATTTTTCCAGTGAAACCACCTTCATCCTCGGTATACTTCCACAATCGGACCGTGCGATCAAGACCTGCCGATGCGATCTGGTTCGGGGAGACGAACTTGGCGGCTCTGATAGAGGCGGTGTGGCCACCATCGGCAGCAGCAGGGGAAGTCGCGATAGTCTCAGACGACATATTCCAAATGCGAAGCAGACCATCATAACTTCCTGATAGGATTCTTTCATGGCCCTTGGTGAAAGTCGCACCTGAGGCCCAGGATGCAGCAGGTGAAGTCGTGGAAAGGACGTCTGTCGCGCTAACCCAGTCATCGTGCTGGAACGAGGCGATGTGCAGGGGCGGGATCAAAGCTCGAACATATTCAATCTCGAGTGTCGTTTCAGCAGAGATACCGTTGTCGACCAAATATTCATCAATCGAGGTCCGCAAAAAAGTTCCATTGATCAAAAACTCAAATGGAATGGGCTTTTCGCTTGAGAGAAGGTTGTTCACCAGTGTTGAGAGCGCATATCGTCGGAGTCCTTTTTGAAGGAAGAGTCAGTACTTGATATTATCATTAATGGTTTTTGATCGGCAATGGGTCTCACCAGTAGGAACAAGAATTGGGCCGGTGCTTTCAGGCAGAGCAATTTCCTCCTCCTGGCTGATGAGCTGCACTCGGACTTGTCTCTGCGCAGCCTCTGCTGCACCAGCAGTGACCAAATCTTCACTCATTGTGAAATCGTTCAAATTGCTGCCGATGTTGTAGATGGAATCTTTTTTGGTGGCTGTCGCATTTTCGGTGGGCGAGGAAAAAAATACGGTGACCCGTGCGGCACACTTGCGCAGAGCGCGGAGATGTCTCCACTCGGTCTACATATAAGTTGATTGCAATACACTGCAGTTCTAACATATGTCTGGTGAATAAACTGTATTTCTATTGCGTGGATGGATTTTATCCTCTGGGCGCCTTTCGAATCTCTGAAATAGCACGTCGCCGGTAATCAGACTCTGCAAACAAGGCCTCGATCAGGTCAATCACTTCCTCAGCAGAGAACTCCAAGCCCAACTCTCCTTCGACCCAAAGGAATTTGATATCGGCGAGGGAGCTCTCCAGGATGTTGATCATATATTGGAAACGGAGCCAGCTCGGAACGTAGATGGCAGTAACGGGCAATGCCTGGGCATCACCATCTGTCTCAGGCATGAAGAGGTCCTCCAATTTTGAAAGTTGGTTACAGAAGGAGACTAGTTGCCGTGACTGATCCTCCGAAATGTCACCCAGATCTTCGATGTCGATGACCACCTTGTTGATCACGGTAGACAAGAGAGATCCGACTGATTGGAGCAGCGCGGAATGAGACAGTATGGGGTGCCATTCCGTGTAAACGTCGCGAATTCGGTCGACAGTCGCGCTAACAGAGTTCTCACAGTCTGCTTGGAATGGCTGCTCAGAGCATTGTGCAAATCCTTGGGCTCCATCAAGCAGATCCGTGACGATCGTGCGCTGCGTCTGCATCTCTTTGCTATATGCGAGTTTGCCAAATTTCTCCAAAGCTTCAACATCGGGCTGAAGTCTGGAGAGTTCATGTTCATCAACCAGTTTCCGGATCTCATCGGCAAGGTACAGACTATCATTATAAAGGTACATCTGCCCTGAAGTAAGCTTCAGCGAGTAGAATGTGGATGATGTAGCTTTGAACATAGCCAAGATCAAGGTCGGCAGTGCAAGAAGACCAGCACCAGAAGAAGCGACGCGGGAATTGGCATGGCTGAGCACTAGTTAGTTTAACGCAAACAAAAGGCAAGGTTGAAATAGGCATGATCAGTATGGCACGACTTACGCAGGCTGCAAAATATCCTTTGAATCGGTGATTTGCTGCTGAACGACCCTAAGGACAGACTCGGGGATATCGGTGATCGTGAAAACTTCCTTCAGGGTGACCTCTTTTGGTGATACAAATCCGGCTGTATTCTTCTTGTCGGGTGGGTTTGCCACTGCTGTGTTCTGGAGCCGCGAAGGCTTATCATCGACTTTATGGTAATCTTCATCCTCATCCCCCCAGCCCCAGGCATCATCGGCGTCAGCATCTTCCGTAGAAGCAGCTGCCTCCGGTTTGTCCTGATCGGGAGTTTCCTCGATGTCCTCGTCATCAAGACCCCACGCACTAACATCTTCCTCTTCTTCCTCGGGCTCTGTCGTTTCCGTTTTCTTGGGCTCATCTTCTTTGTCATCATCCCAGTGCGCGTCCCAGTCCTCATTGCCGGCATTCTCCAATAGAGCACCCTCAGCCTGATAAACCTGTTCCTTTTCAATTCGTTCGACCTGCTTCGTCGTTCCCTGACTGGCGGCAAGGACTTTGCGAACGCTATCGAGCGAGTCGACTCTACGCCGAGTCAACCACAGGCGTGGAGCTTGGTTGACCCATGAGACGAGTTCTTCTTGGCCAGTCCAACCCCAAGACTCTATCTGCGTGGTAAATTGTGAAACGTGGTTCAGGATGTTCTCAAACTCGGTGAGGCCAGCTAGATCGGTGGGAATAGCAGAGGATAGCCACTCGGATATCGCGTTCGAGGAAATAGTCACAATGAACGATTCGGAGAAAGTTGCGGACACCAATGACGGTAAACTCCATCGCAAGTAGCCCAAAACGCTGGAAATGCGATCCAAGGTCTCCAATGCGGTTGTCTTTGAGGCCTCAGGCTCAATACGAATGCTGGTCTCCGTCACCACCACACCATGGCTCGTCCCATCAGGGTGAGGTAGCAAAATCGGATTTACGATCGCAGACAATAGATCCTTTTGTAGTTTCTCAATGGCAGATGTGAGTATATCCAGTCGAGACAGCGACGTAATAGTGCTCTCAAGAGAATCTGCATCTGAATCTGCGCTGGAGACATGGAATTCGCCTTGTTGTCGGTCAACTTTCAATTGATCAGCCCAGCGTGAACGAAGGGCCTCAACAATCTCGGATCGCAGCAATGACACCTCGTCAGAGAGTATACCCATCACGTTTGTATTGGTAAAGAAGGCATCCTTTCCAACAGCTGCATCAGCAGACTCCAATTGCTCAATGGCGGTGGTGATCTGGCTACTTCTGAGTGCAGCTCGCCCTGTTTCCAGCTCCTGACACAAACGGTGCACCTCCTCTAGGGTACCCGCTACGGCCTGATTGAAGGCAATCTCCGTCTCAACCAAGGCGACTTTTGCCCTCGCATCTTCAACCTTCGCCTGTAGGGGTTTGGTATGCTCATGCTGCGCGACTATTTCTCGCGCAGTCAATCTTGAGCGTTCTATGTCGGCGTGGAGTTGTTTCGCTTGGATGATCCAGTCGTCGGCATCGAAGGTGTTCTCGCGACTCAAGGAGCTAATCTCATTCTGATCAAGTAAAGCAGCGCTGGTCAGTAATCACCCGACGTGCGTAGAGGAAAATTGGAGGTTCCGTACCTCTACCTGCTCACGTGCCTTCGATATAAGCTCCAGTTCCCTGGCGAGAGCAGCTGCCGGGAACTTACCAGCAACTACACTCTCCTCGGGATACGAGCCCTCGGTGACGAAGCCTAGCACCGCCTGGCACAGCTCCTCGGTATTTCCTGTCATGACGCAACTTTTTCCGAAATGAATCGACTAACAGGAAACGAGCTTCGGAGCTTCGGAGAAAGAGACACATGTAAAGAAGAGTCGAGCTGTCAACAACCCGTGACTCGTAAGGTTTGGGCGTCACCGCCCCCACGTGGTGTATGCTGTATGCTTTCGCTCTAGAGCTCTAAACATTACTAGAATTTTAATAAGACTATATATACCCTTTGAATGTGACTGGTTGTAAATAATTCGAAATCTGATATCTCTCTCTTTGTTATATAGATTCTTTCAGTTGCCCGCTTTGTAAGGAAAACCGGAGACTGAGGTCTCCCCCAAACTTGGAACACCCCGGGACCAACACACTTTTGAAGACATCTGGGATTCACCGTGTCTCGGATACTACCCCTGAGTCGAAGTACGTGTTTTCGGTAAGTCAGTATGAATTGCGTTCTTAGTTCTTATTGCCTAGGAGTGTGAGCGTATCGAGTGTATCAGCCTTCTATCCCCAAATTTCTGCTCGCCACCCCACCTATGTCACTTATCCTTGGCGATATGTCGCAGGTCCGCTGGATATGTCCTTTCAGGACATGATTTGGAAAGGATTTGCTTGTTGCTGCTTTTGTTGCCATTCTATTCGAGCGCAGCTCAGAGTGAATATTCTTCTCTCATCCGATTTGTGGTTGTCGTACTTATTATCAGACTATTCCTCATCGTGAACATACTTATGTGCTCACGACTGTATCAAATTGCTAGTTAACGGAGACGAATTGCTAATGAAATTACCAGACTGTCAAGCTTACGGCGGAATATCTTCACTGGGTCTGTCCCATTGACCAATATGTCGCCCTCGGTGCAGAACAGTCACTTCAAGCTGCTCCAGCAGTTCAAGCCTGATTACTCGCCGAGCGAGTTCACTCAGTATGAATCACAGCGCACTGGCATGAGAGTAGTCGTTATCGACCAGCCGGGTCCCAAAGTGAACGGTTACTTCGTGCTTGCTACCGAAATCCACGATGATTCGGGTGCTCCTCATACTCTGGAGCACTTGTGCTTCATGGGTTCCCGTAATTACCGCTACAAGGGCTTCCTGGACAAGCTGGCTACTCGCGTGTACTCCAGTACCAATGCCTGGACGGCAACTGATCACACTGCCTACACACTGGATACCGCAGGCTGGGAAGGTTTTGCTCGTATCCTGCCAGTCTACCTGGAGCATGTGATTGCTCCTACTCTGACTGACGAAGGCTGCTACACTGAAGTCCACCACGTCGACGGCTCTGGAAACGATGCCGGTGTCGTGTATTCCGAGATGCAGGGTGTGCAGAACAACGCCGCTGAGCTGATCGACCTAGCAGCCCGACGATTGACCTACCCGCCTGGCGTGGGCTTCCGCTATGAGACAGGAGGTATGATGGAACAGCTTCGAATCTTACCTGCGGAACGAATTCGCGAGTTCCATCGTGAGATGTATCAGCCCAAGAACCTGTGCCTGATCCTCACCGGAGAAGTCGACCAGAACGACATGCTGGAGATCTTGGATAAGTTCGAAGATACTATCTTGGATGTCATTCCTAGCCCAAACGCACCATTCAAGAGACCTTGGGTGGATTCCAAGCAGGCTCCCTACTTGGAGAAGTCCGTCATTCAGAGGGTTGAGTTCCCCGAGGAGGACGAATCATTTGGTGAAATCGAAATTCGATTCATGGGACCCGACTGCACAGATCCCATCCTATGTAAGATCCGAACACCAACCTTTGAGATAAAATACTTACAGTATCATAGCCGGGGCTCTTAATGTGTCACTTTTGTACCTGGCCGGTTCATCTGCAGCTCTGCTAGAGAACATCATTGTTGAGAAGGAACAACTCGCCAGTGCCGTTTACTACGCAACTGAGGATCACCCTAGCATGGAGCTTCGTTTCACGTTGACCAGCGTGGAAACAGCGAAGTTGGAGAGCGTTGAGAAGAGATTCTTTGAGATCCTCCAAGATGCGATGGCTAAGGAATTAGACCTGAAGTACTTGAAAGAGTGCATCGCCCGACAGCGCCGAACCTGGAAGTTCTCGACTGAATCTTCTGCCTCTTCATTCGCAGAGTACGTTATCTCTGATTTCCTGTTCGGAAAGCGTGATGGCTCGACTTTGATGGATGTCGCAACTCTGAAGGAATATGATGTCCTTGAGACCTGGTCCGAGGACCAATGGCGCTCTTTCATCAAGAAATGGATCTCGGATGCAGCCCATGTCACTATCTTGGGTATCCCATCACAGAAGATGGCCGCCACACTGAAAAAGGACGAGGAGGACCGGGCAGCTGCGCAGAAGGAGCGTCTCGGCGAGAAGGGCCTGAAGGAGCTTGCCGACAAACTCGAAAAGGCCATGGCAGAAAACGACAAGGAGATTCCACAGGAATTGCTGGAAGAGTTCACTATCCCCGGAACCGAGTCAATCCACTTTATGGAGACTACTACGGCTCGTTCGGGTGCTGCCCTGAAGGCTGGACGCCCCGACAACAAGATCCAACCCCTTGTTGATGCCGACAAGTCTGACCAGTCCCTTTTCATCCACTTCGAGCACATCCCTAGTAGCTTTGTCCAGCTTTCGGTTCTCATCTCAGCTGATGCTGTGCCCGTTCAGTTGCGTCCATTGCTGTCCATCTACACCGAGGCGTTTTTCAACATTCCGGTGCAGCGTGATGGCAAGGTAATTGACTTTGAGCAGGTCGTGGTGGAATTAGAGAGAGATACCGTCGGATACTCGATGGAGACCGCTCGCGGTCTTGGAAACTCAGAGATGCTCCGTATCTCCTTCCAGGTCGAGCTGGAGAAGTATGCGAACGCCGTCGCCTGGCTGCAGGAGCTGTGCTGGAAGTCCGTCTTCAACGTGGAGAGACTCCAGGCTATCAATACCCGTCTTTTAGCAGATGTGCCCGACTCCAAGCGCAGTGGTGACGACATGCTTGCTGCTGCACATGTGATGGTTCACTACGCAGAAGAATCGATCACCCGTGCTCGTTCTACTCTAGTTAAGGCTCGCTACCTCAAGCGCGTCAAGCGTCTTCTCGCCGAGAAGCCCGAGGAAATCGTAAGCCGCATGGAGGAGATCCGCAACTCTCTCTTCCAGCCCGACAATGTGCGCATCATTGTCATTGCCGATCTCGAGAAACTCCAGAACCCCGTCTCGGCCTGGAAGCCCTTCGCCGAGACCCTGGGCACTAGCACTGAGTTGCGGCCTATCACTGACCGGCGATCCCGGCTGAGCGATGCTGGCAAGAACATTGGTGGCAAGTCTTACATTGTCCCCATGCCGACTGTCGACTCGTCTTTCGCCTACGCCACCGCCCGCGGTCTGGACTCGTACGATTCCCCGGGCCTTCCCGCACTCCTGGTCGCGATTTCGTACATGAACGCCGTCGAGGGTCCCCTCTGGGTTGCAGTCCGCGGCACTGGGCTGGCGTACGGCACCCATTTCAGTTACAACATCGACACTGGCTTTGTGAACTTCGATGTGTACCGGTCCCCGAACGCGCACAAGGCATTCGAGTCTAGCAAGCAGATTGTTGAGAACTATCTGTCCGGTACTACGCCTTTCGATCCTTTGATGCTCGAGGGTGCCATCAGCAGCATCGTGGTCAACTACGCCAATGAGCAGATGACTGCCGCCAATGCTGCCCAGGGCAGTTTCATCCGCCAGGTCGTGCGCAACTTGCCCAGCGACTATAAGGAGAAGATGCTCAAGAATGTGCGCGCTATCACCACCGACCAAATCAAGGGTGCTCTGCGTGAGATTATCTTGCCGTTGTTCGATCCGAAGACTGCAAACCTCGTTGTCACCTGCGCGACTGTGTTGGAAGAGGTGAGTTGTTCCCCGGTATTCATTTTGCAGATATGGATTGCTGACTTTTATTGCGAACAGACCATCAAGCAGGGCTTCGAAACTTCCGGCTTCACTCCCACAGTTCAGGCTCTTAAGGAATTCGAGGACGACTATGGTCTGAAGGTTGGCGATGAGGAAGAAGTCGAGGATGATGACGATGATGACGAGGACTCCGAGACTGGATCGGAGGATGGCGAAGACGAACGCGACGAGTGATATGTCTGATGAACGATCTATACACGGGTAGCGATGTAGATCACATAGACGGAATTGCGGTGTCAAGAGACTCTACTTAACCTAGACAGTGATGAATCTACTCTTTTACTTGCTGCAAACAAGCTGGATATCGACTGAAACAAACAAAGCTGAAAAATTCGCACTATATGAAATGTAGTCACACACATCCCCAGGAGAGGTAAATATGGTACACGCCAGACAAGACCCGCCAGCAACCGTCTTGCCTGAACCCGGATCCAATCTTGAAGACTGTAATAGTTCCAAGAATGGATAAATCGGTAATCCCCTACTTTCTTTCCACTATCGCCGTGGGCCGTTATAGAGTCCAATCAATCCAACACACACTCCAGGGCTAGTGCTCTGTGGTATAATCCCGCCATCTTCCACGACAAACCCAATCGATTCAAAGACCGGCCCCGAAACGAAATAAATTACCAACTCAACTCCTTCCGGCCCTTAAGAGTTCTCCGGATAAGAGTCTTACGTCCATTCCTATCCTTCTTGCGCGCCAGGTATCCATGGCGGCGCTTTTGGACCCGTCGTGACGGGCGGAACGTCACACGGCGCACGCCTAGGGAGGCACTTGCGGAGAACGAGCGGGTCTGCGAAGGTGCCTTCTGGGAGAGGAGTGATGACAGGGGTGAGAAGGCGGTTGCAGTTGCGGTTGCAGTTGCGGCTGGCGAGGAGAGGCGGGCGCCGAGTGTTCGCGAGGGTTGGAAGCGGGTTGGCGTGGAGAGGAAGGAGGAGAAGGATCGGGATGAGAGCATTGTGGAGGGTGTGCTTGGTTGTTGCGCGATTTGGGCAAATCTGCTTCCGGTGGAGTAGAAGTGTTAGCTGTCTGGTTGGTTTCGAGCTGGAAAGGTTGGCTGCTTTGCGGACCTGTTCATCGGGGTTCGCATGGCCGATGTGGTGGCCCTGAAGATTGAGGGCACAGCCCTGGAGCGGAGGCAGAACATTTTGAGAACCCTGGCTTTTCTTGAGGGCGATTGAGGGTAGGGTGGAGCTTTCTGGAGTTGGAGATCGAGTGAGACCTGGTGGACAAGACGTGGCGTCGGAAGACAGAAAATTAAGCGCGGAGTCGCTGGCACGGACCCGCCTAGAGATATATGTGTACAATGATGTACATTTAATTACTTGAGATATATAGAATATAAATGGAATTGGTCAATTTTGAGTGTAAGATCTACTTATACTCCTATAAATAATCCTATAGATACTATATAACTACTTTCGTTTAGCTCTCAATGAATACCAAACTATACTTGCAGCGCATCCCGCTAAGAGGACCTACCCGATCGGGACTAGCGTCATCGAACTTTTTTGATCTCGAGATGCGAAATGCTCAACGTCGCCCGTGCAACTCTCCATCCTGCTCCCCAGATCACACTGGACTCGAGGGAAACTCTACTCCCGGCTCTGTTAATCCCACCACTGGGCCAAACCACTCGAAAACCGGCGCTTCCACCGCCCTTCAACCTCAAAAACCCGCCCATTAAACACAGCGAAGAATACCAATTCCACCAAAATGGCAACCCAAGGTCCCCAGGCCCTTCCCCCAGTCACAGTGCAAAGCACACGGGCCATCACCCAGTCCGCCGCGCAAGAATTCCTAGCCGCCTACCTGGACCGCGCCGCGACAGACCCATCTTTGCAACCCAACGCCAGCATCAGCGAGCATGGCCCGGTCTCACGGACGACCGCCGCAGCGCCGAACCTGATCCTGCACAACCTGAAGCGCGTGCAAGCGGGCCTAGCCGGCGAGCTCCTCGGTCGCGATCTGACTGTCGCGAAGCAGAACCCCGGAGAAGAGTATTTGGATGTTGCTGCGGGTATTCCGCAGACCAACAACCATGATCAACTGGATGACAGCAACGATCTTATCATGAATGACGCTGAGTTTGGCCTTGAGGCTGAGGCTTTTGCGGATCAGGAGGCCGGTATTGATAAGGAGGAGCGCAAGCGGAAGAAGAAGGAGAGACGGTTGGCGGAGAAGAAGAGTAAGGCCAAGGCGAAGGCTGAGGAATCCGATTGAATGCGGCTGGGTATATATTTGGTTGTGGGCGTTGCTGCATTGGGTCGGAGTCTCTTGTCTTTCTTTCGTTCTATTGCTCTGTTACTCTGGGCTGGGTTGGGTTTTGGACGTACAAAAGAGTACTGCTCGCATTTCATGTCTAGACAAAAGTTGTCATTTGGAGTTTAGACGGATTGCTACAATCCAATCAATACATAATGGAACGTTTCCAAGCCTCGCTTTTGCCTCTCGAGATTAATATTCCAAGCTGTTACTGGCACAAAAAAAAAACCATGCCCATATCAAAAATCGCCAGC